GGGTGAATGGATGCAATGATGGGTGGAAAGAGGGAAGGAGTGGTGAGTGGACAAACAAGGCAATGGTTGGACAGAAGAGGAGTGAGTAGAGGGGTGGTTAGATGAATGAATGAATTGGAAGGAGAGAATGAATCAACGGATAAATAGGTTGGTGGTAGCTGTGTACCGTCTAGTCGGAACCAACCCATAACTGACCCCCCGGCGAGTTTTCAGAGCAGTAAATCACATGCAAGGAGACTGCCCATCTTTCTCTCACAGCACAGCTGATGGATTTGAACTACATGCCTTTGGGTTGGCAGCACAGCTCCTTACCACGAAGACACCAGAGCTTCCTGGATGGAGCTCCCTGGATGGGTGGGTGCTTGCTGTTAGGTGCGGTCGAATCTCATATGACTCACAGCCACCCTGTGAACAACAGATCTGAACCCTGGCCCACCCTGTGCTGTCCTCACAGTCTCCAACACGCTCGAGCCTATTGCTGCAGTTACTGTGTCAGTTCACCTGGTTGAGGGTCTTCCTCTCCCTCTCCACCCCTCATCCTTCCAAGCCTGATGTCCTTCTCCAAGGATTAGCCTCTCCTACCAACATCCCAAAGTATGTGAGATGAAGCTTCATAATCTTTGCCTCCAAGGAGCACTCTGGCTGAACCTTCTCCAAGACACATCTGTTTATTCTTTTTTGGAGTCCATGGGATATTCAGCACTCTTCTCCAACGCCATAGCTCAAAGGCATCTATTCTTCTGTCATCCTTATTCATTGTCCAGCTTCAGATGTATAGCAAGTGACTGAAAAGGCAGTGGCCTGAGTCAGGTGCACTTTAGTCTTCAAACTAACATCATTGCTCCTCAGTAATTTGGTAAGGTCCTTGACTGCAGACTTTCCCAGTGCAATATACCTCTCCTGTCTGCTAGTACCAATTATATAGATTGTGGACCCAAGTAAGATGAAGTTGTTGACAGTTTCAGTCCTTTCTCCATCTATCATGAGGTTTCCCTTGGTTCAGTGGTGAGGGTTTTTGTCTTGTTGACGTTGCAATAAAATCCATACTGAAGGCTGGAGTGTTTAACTTTCTGCAGCAAGTCCTTCAAGTCCTCAGTTGCAGCAAGCAAGGTTGTGTTATCTGCATAATGAAGGTTATAGGTGAGTCTCCCTCTGATCGTGAGGCCACATTCTTCTTCACAGAGTCCAGCTTCTCGAATAATTTGCTCAGCGTACAGAGTAGACATGGAGAAAGGATACAACACGGATGCACACCTTTCCCAATTTAAACCATGTTGTTCCCTTGCTCTGTTTGCACAACAGCCTCTTGGTCTAGGTATAGGTCTTGCATAAGCACAAATAAGTGTTTGGGATTTCCATTCTTCTCAATGTTACCTATAATTTTTTGTGATCCACACTGTCAAATGCCTTTGCATAGATAGTAAAGCACAAATAGACATTCTTCTGGTGTTCTTTGCTTTCAGCTGGGATCCATCTGACATCATCAATGCTACCCCTGGTGCCAACACCTCCTCGAAATCAAGCTTGAACGTCTACGTACTGTTACAGCTGTTTCTGAATAATTCTCGACAGTGTTTTGTTTCCATGTGATATTAATGCTATTGTTCAATACTTTCCACATTCTGTTGGATCCCCTTTCTTGGGAATGGGGACAAAGAATGGATCTCTTCTAGGAGGTTGGCCAGGCAGCTGTCCTCTTAATTTCTTGACACACACTGGTGAGCACGTCCAGGGCTGCGTCTGTCACTGGAGACACGTCAATTGGTACCTCATCTACTCTTGGGCCCTTGTTTTTGCCAGTGTCTTCAGTGAAGGTTCAACCTCTTCCTTCACTACTGTTGGCTCTTGTTCATATGGTACTTGCTGAAATATTTCAGTGTCGGCCAGTTCTTTTTGGGACAGTGATTCTGTGTATTCCCTCCATCTTCTCCTGATGTTTTCATTCAGGATTTTGCCCATAGCATCTCTCAGTATTGCAACTCGAGGCTTCAATTTGTTTTTCAGTTCTTTCAGCTTGAGAAGTGCTGAGTGAGTTCTCCAATTCTAATAACAGTTTGTTATAGCAGTTTGCTTTGTCTTCCCAAGCTGCCTTTTGAAGGATGAGCAAATACATGGCTGGATGAATGGGTGTAGGGTATAGGGGTTAGATAAGTTGATGGATGGATGGATGGATTCATGGAGGGAGGAGTAGGTCAATGAATGACTGGAAGGTGATAATGTTGGATCAATGGGTAAGCGGACAAATGGATGGATGGACCATGGGTGGATGAGTAGTTAGAAGGTTGTATGGGATGACTGAATAGGAGGAGGGTACGTGGAGGAGCTGGGTGGCTGTGTATATGGGTGCGTAGAAAGAGAGGCAGGCGGTGAGCTCTGGTGGCCTAATAGCAAGAAAGTGCACTGCAATCCCAGAGGTGAGAGGTTCAAATCCACCAGATGTTCTGCTGGAGAAGGAGGAACAATCTCCTCCTGTACCAGTCAAATCTGATTTAAGGTTAGGGTACACATACACACAAATAATAATAATTAAAGAAAAAATTAAAAAAAGAAAGAGAGGCAGGTGGACAGAAACGGAGGCTTGATGGATGAGTAGACAGGGAGGATGTATAAACGAGGGAGAGGTGGGTGGATGGAGAGATGGTTGAGTGAGTGGATAGGAGGAGAGGGGGTGAATGGACAGATGTCTACGTGAGTAGTGGGGTGGGTGGCTGTAAGTGGATAGGGGGATGGATGAATGAGCAGATGGATGAGTGGAATGTGGGGTCAGGGAAGGGTGGATGAGTGGACAGGTGGAGGGATGGAGGATGAAGGGTTAGTGGATGGGTAGGTTGGTATGTGTGGAAATGGAAGTGGAGTGGGCTGAAGAGCCGGCAGGTGGCTGCCTTGGTAGATAGTAAGTACATGGGTAGACTGATGGGCACTGGAGGCTGGAGGAAAGGTGGGTGGTCAGGTGAATACAAAAGCATCAGGACCAGGGCCTCGTCTGACTTCCAAACCCGTGTACCTTGCCCAGCTGCTCTCCAGACGTCTTCCAACCCCAGAGGCCAGGCCCCGGCCAGAGGGGTGGGTCCTGAGGCCCAGAGGTGAAAGGCAGCATCCTCTGTTCCTCACACCCACACTGCCCCCATAATGGGATCGCGGGCCTCTGGCGGGAATGGGGCCTTACCTTCTCCAGGTAGTTAAACTCCATCGCGATCTCCCGGAAGAAGAAGTAGACATGGCTGCCCCACTCAACCGCGTGGACAAAGTAGGGCTCTGTGGGAGAGGAGGGGTCAGAACCCACCTTCTCACATGATGGGGGAGGGGCTTCTAGCCTGAGAATGTATCAGGCTCAGTGGGTGCTTTTACTGTGAAGGGGGGGGACCTCAGCTGATTAACTGGGTAAAACAAATGGGTTCCAAGTTCATTGGGTTTTTTTGTTTTGTTTTGTTTTGTGTTGTTTTTATAAGGGATAAGGTCGGAAGCCTAACATTGCCGCATCTACCCCACAGACAGCAGCATCTACTGTTCTGCGCCATCCTTCTCGCATGCGTGTTAAACTCCGTTTTCCCCTTGAAGCTGCATCCTTCTAAGTCACCACATCCGGGAAGTGCTACCTGAATCCCCCTTCAATCTTCCTTTTGCTTTAGCATCAATGAGGCCAGCAGGCTTCAAAGACGAGATGGGAGTCCCTGCCCTGTTTCCTCTGGGATTCTTATTCTGGTGGGGTTATTTGGGTCCACCTTCTCTGCCCCTCCGTGCCCACCTTTGAACCACTTGGAGTCGTGTTTCACGGTGCGCAAAGTGGGCCGGTCCCCCAGGCTGCGGTAGATGACAGCGTCGATGGCCAGGAAGTCAGTGACAGTGGCTGTGAAGAGCATCCCGTCTGAAGGGGATGAAGTGGAGAGGTCACATCCAAGGCCAAGGCTCTTCCCAGCCCCAGCCTGGGTTGGAGCTCTGATTCCTGAGCCTCAAGTCTGGGTGGAGCTTTTGTGTGTAGGCTGAGCTTCTGACCCCACTGAAAGCTCGAGCCAAGGCTGAGTCCCCACCTCACTCCTCACTGAGCCTTGGCTCTGGGCTGAACCCTAAGTCCAGGGCTGAACCTAGAACCAGGCTGAGCTCTTCAGCCCTTGGCAGAGCCCCCCCCCCATCTCAGTCTGAGCCTGATCCTGTCTGAACTTTTACCCCAGGCTGAGAGTCTACCCATTTCACTGATGGATGCCCAGTGACCCTCCAAATACTGCATCCCAGGAGTGGAAACTGCCAGGCCCTGGCCCAGGCTGAGCCCCACTAGATGGTCATTCTTGGTTGGGGACACTCACCAGAGAAGAGGGCGACGTTGGCGTGTTTGGGGTCATACGGGCAGCGTGCCATGCCACTGATGTTGTCCCCGATGGGCCGTAATGTGTCCATCTGTAGAAGGGGCCAGGGCCTGAGTGACAAAGGTCTTGGCCACACCTGGCAGCCTATTCCTCCAGGCCCAATTCTACAGGGAGTCCTGGCCCCAACACAGATTGCTGTATAAACGTAATCTCAATTTCTCGGGCCTCAGTTTACTGGTTTGAAAAATGGACCTAAGGGTGAGTCCGTGCTGCTGTTCTGTGTTGTCAAGCTGACTCTGACCCGTAAACCCACAGCTGCTGAGTCCACTCAGATTCACAGTGACCCTGAAGGACAGGGTCGAGCTGACCCACAAGGACTCCACGGCTCTAGCTACAGCCCCACAGGAGCAGATGCCCCCCATCTTTCTGTTCAATGTGCCCAAGAAGTTCAAGCCACAACCTTCGCTGAGGCCAATGCCAAACCCAGGGCCATACTCAGCCATGGATGACGGGGTGGGATCACCCGTTGGCGTTTTCTGGGCTGTAGTCTATAAGGACGGATTGCCAGGTCTTTGACGCTGCAGGGCCATTGGTCAGTTCGATTAGCAGCTGAGTTTTAACCACTGTACCACAGGGCGCCTCAGAGCCCATATTACTCATTATGGTGAGAGCTGAGTAAGCCCTGACCCTACGCGTCCCTGTATCCCCCTGGATGTGTTGAGAGGGAAGGACATATCCAGGCAGGCTTCCTGTAGGAAGTGACAGAGCCTGGCGACGGAGACTCACGCTGTAGTTGGCGCACACGGGGTTGAAGGCGTTGGATCCACACATGAAGAGCGTGGACTCGTCACGAAGTAGCAGCACCTTTACGAAGTTTCGACACTCGCCCTGGGGTACGAGGGGAGAGAAGGGCTTGTGTGGGCGTGGCCATGCGGAGGGAAAGCGGGGCTAAGGCGGAGGGTGGAGCCAGAGCGGGGAAGGGCCTGTGTGGGCGTGACCAGGTAGATGAAGGCGTGGCTAAAACGGAGGGTGGGGCCAGAGCGGGGAAGGGCCTGTGTGGGCGTGGCCAGGAGGGCGGGAGGCGTGGCTAACCCGGAGAGTGGAGCCAGAGCGGCGAGAGGCCCTATGAGGGCGTGGCCACGGCGGTGGGCGTGACCAGGGCCAAAGGGAGGTTAGGAGCCTTGCTGGGAGGGGTCTGCATCTGGATGTGGTCAAGCTGGAGGCCACGTGAGGGTGGGGTCGTCTTTGATTTAAAGTAACACTTGGCAGGACCCTAGGTGGGGTCGAACCAGGACTGGAAATACGTTCTGTTATGTACCGTCAAGTTGGAATCGACCCATAGCTGACCCTCCAGCAGGTTTTCAGAGTCAGTAAATCGGATGGGAAGGGATGGTCCTTCTTTCCTCTGTTGAGCAGCTGGTGGATTCGAACCATGTGCCTTTGGATTGGCCCTGCAGCTCTTTACCACTATGCCACCAGAAGGGAGGAGGACCGTGGGGGCGTGGCCAGGGATGAAGGCCGCTTGAGAAGCCAGCCACTCACCTCCTGCTTCCCTTTCATTCTGCACACGTCGATGTCACTGGGGTTCGAGCGCCAGGTCAGTTTCTGGGGACAGAGAGGCTCGTGAGGGGAGCGAAGGCCCTGATCGCCCCAGGACCCCCCCCCCCCGCGAGGCACAGCCACAGTGTTTGACTCCCTCCCTCCCTATTGCACCCCCTCCTCACCCGCTGGTACCGCAGCTCCGTGGACGTGGGGGATTCCAGCTCCACTCGGTATAAATTGTCCCTGGGGGGGGTGTAGTTAGTGAGATTGAGCGGTCCCACCACCCTCTGTATTCCTTCTTCCCTGAGGACCTGTACCACGTCCAAGGTGCCAAAGCCTGTGTCTCTGGGCAAGGCCAACACTGACACGCCCCAACACGCGTCCCACATAAATTCTGTCCCAGCTCTGCTCACGTTCATCCCTCTTCTCTGCAGCCACCTGCGTCCAGCTCCACCTCCATCCCCCTGTCGTCGTTGTTGAATACCATCCAGTCAGAACGGACCAATAACCCCGCAGCAAGGTGTAATTCTGCAGCACTGCAGTTCCCCACCACGGAGCCCACGGACACCCAAAAGAACAGACAGATGTGTCCTGGAAAAAGTGCAGCCAGAGTGCTCCTTGAAGTAAGGATGACAAAGCTTCATCTCACATATTTTGAGTATGTTGTTAAGAAAGGCTATTCCTTAGAGAGGGACATCATACTTGGAAAGATGGAAGGTCCAGGAAAGAGAGGAAGACCCTCAATGAGCTGGACTGACAGTGACTGCAGTGTGTGAGTGACCGCTCGAGTGTGTCAGGTGATGAGGACGGGGTTCAGATCTATTGTTCCGAGTCGCATTGGACTAGATGGCTTCTAACAACAACTACAAACAACACCAAAGCCACTGGAGCTATCCCTGCCCCTGACTCCCGCGCTATCCCTTCAAGTCTGTTTGTCCTGTGGTTGTTAGAGGGCATCTGAGCCAAGCCCGTTCCTCCTCTGCCCACGGCCCTCCAGTGTTCCCACCTCCCTCAGGTACCAGCCCAAGTCCTCCTTGCAGCTCACAGACCCATCCTCTCCCTTCCTCCTCCTCTTTGCCTCCCTCACTCAGCTCCAGTCTCCAAGCTTTTCTTCCAACTCTCCAGGCCTAGTTCTGCCCCAGGCTGTTTGCACATGCTGTTCTCTCTGCTCTCCCAAGATCACATCCAAATGCCACCTCCTCTGAGAAGCCCTCCATGACCACTCCCACAGCGTCTCTCACAGGGTTGGGACTATACACCCAGGCTCCTAGTTATTTGATAGTTGACCGGATAACTCCACCTCTGACCTCCCTCTGCTAGGCTTCTGGGCTGTCTACACTCATCAACTCCTAGAAGCTTCAGGCTGCAACCTCCTCCGCCTAGCTCTGCACATCCTTAAAAGCCCCACCCCAGGGCCACACATCACCACACCCACTATGCAACTCCCCTGCTCCCTGCCACCCACTCCCCTGAGCTCACCCCAACCCTCTGCAGGCAGCCCCCATGCCCATACCTGTCTCCGATGAACAGCGTCCTATTGACCCGCAGGACCCGCTGGATATTGAGATCCTCAGCACCCTCTGCGGGCGTCAGGCGTCCAGGTCCGCGGCCCACGAATACAGGGTAGTGGTTCAGGTCTAGGAGAGGAGATGAGATGGGGTGAGGCAGGGCGGGATGAGAAAGGACTGCGTGTGTCTCACCGTGAATGGCCAGAGGTCACGTCTTTTCTGGGGGTTCCACTGGAAAGTAACACACCCAATGTGCGCATCAGGACCCTCCCAGGGGCATCCCCTCTCCTCTTCCCCCACTCACAGTCTCTGGGGGCCACACTAAGTGGCGGCGGCTCCTCGGGGAAGAGGCTGTGGGAGCCCCCCAGTTGCAGCAGCAGGAGCAGTAGGGCCGAGCAGGGAGGGGGCGCTCGCGGGGTCCGCATGGCGAGGGCGGGGTGGCCAGAGGTGACACCTGAGGGTGGGAGGGCCGAAGGTGAGGGGGTTCCCCGCAGTCCCGCTGGTGGCCGGCGGAGGGCGCGCGACGCAAGGAGCTGGGCTTGGACATTCCACCTGCTTATCAATTCCTAGAAAAAGCCCCCGTTGGGATAACAACACGAGCAACGGCAATAATAGTTGGGATAACAACACGAGCAACGGCAATAATAATAATTAGAGTACCTCGCACTCAGTGAATTGCCAGAACAACTTTAGGCCTAGGTAATGACTTCAAGCAAAAACGCATCAGGTTAGTAACCAGAAATTAATAACAATAACAGACACATAATCTCAAAACAGGTTGGAATTAGAAATGTAAAAAATAGTAAAATCAAAGGCAAAGAGGAAAAAAAAAATCCCTGGGTCTTGGAATCCTGTTAAATAAGTACTGCCTGGGGCTTGCGTAAATTAGGCCTAGAACATTCCAGCTGGCCAGGGCCCAGAGAGGCCCGCTGGTCCGACTCCTTTCTCCCTGCTCAGCCTTTCTGAGGTCTTCTTGCATGCCCCTGGGACAGGCCCCTCACCACCTCCGGAAGCAGAATGCTTCCTCTCCCGCCCAAGGTAACTCGCTCCCTTGGACCCAGGCCTCCTTGGCCAAAGGCTCCGGCTCAGAGGACCCCCTACCAGAAAGGGATGCAGTTCAAGTCCAGACAGGAGACCCCGAAAATGAAACCCTGCAGCCTTGTTCTTCTGGGGAGCCTGGGGTCAGGCCCCAGGGCCAGTTTCCGGTCTGAGCAGCGGGGACATCTCCGAGTCCTGCACCGGCCTTAAAGCCCAGGATCCCAAACCCGAGGTGAAGGTGGTTTGGGACCTCTAGCCCTGGAGTGCCCGCCTCCAAGCATTTTTCAGAAAACAGGAAAGCAAGCTCTGTGTGGACCACGGGGACTTCCGCTCCGTGACCCGAACTTCCAGGATTTGTGACTTAGCGGATGCCAGGAGCCCACGTGTGTGTGCAAGGAACGCCGCTGCTTCCTCAACTTTCCGTCCCCGATCCTCCTCGACTCCCCAGTCCACCCTGGCTCCCAGAGACCCTGTGTCCAGGCTTCATCCCCTGCCTGGCATTCTTCAGCCCCAACTTGACCGTCAACTCCAAGGCCTCTCAGAAGGCCATGCCCCCCTGTGTCTTTTAAGCCATGAGTGTTGTTTTTTTTTGTTGTTATGTACTGTCGAGTTGGAACTGATTCATAGGAGACATGCCAGCAGGTTTTCAGGACCTGTAAACCACGTGGGAGGAAACTACCTATCTGTCTCCTGCATAGCAGCTGTTGGATTTGAACTGCGAGCCTTTAGGTTGGCAGTGCAATTCTTTACTCTGTATGCCAGAGCTCCCTTAAACCATCAATCCATCAGAATAATACTTAACTGCAGAAATTGTGAAACAGTTTTCCTTAGGCATCATAGTAGTGGTGGGGCTCCAGACCTGAGTTCAAGTTCTGATCCCTTCCCTTACACATGGACTTTGGACTTCTCTGGGCCTCAGTTTCCTCATCTGTAAAACGGGATCGGTGAGTGTACGACTGACCGTACTGGCCTATGGTGGGGTTCACACAGCACCCGGCACACAGTAGGTGCTCTATAAATGTTCCTGCTATTTATTGCTGCTGTTGTTGAAACATTAAGCTCCAGGGGCTGGGCTAACAGGCTTCCCAGAATGACTTCACAGAAGGCCCCTAACAGCTCCAGCAGGGCCAGTGAGACACTGAACCCATTTTGCAGATGGGGAACAGAGTCAGATTCAAAGGCATGTTCCCATCAGGGAGGAACTGGCAGAGAACCCTGGTCATGAACCACCCCAACTCACACCCTCAATGCTGACACCAACAACGTGAAAGCCCCATTCATAGCTGGGCACACTGAGGCCAGTTCTTTCTCTCGCTTTTCTTCCTGATGCAGCAGATCAGGGCTCAGAAGGGTGCCTTTCCTGCCTCTCTCCACACCGCCCCTAGCCACACAGGTCGACCTTGGGACCTTGGAGAACAAACGGGGTTTGTGACACACCTGAGCTGGATTTACCTGAGCTGGAGTCCCGGCTCCCCTCCCTTCCTTCTTTCATCCATGGCGTGGGCTTGCTCCCTTCTACCCATCTCCACCGGGAAACCCTATGATCCTCCCACTGGTCCCCTGGCCTCCAGCCCTGGCCTCCAGTGCACCTTCCTCATGGCAGCAAAGAAACATCACCTGGTCTCAACTGTCCACTGTCCCTTGCTGCTGAGAGAGTCCCACCTCACTAGGCACTGATGACCTTGAGCGGCGCCGGATCCTTCCCTGAGGGGGGCCACCCCGATCTCTGTAGAGTGTTGATAGCAGCCCTGGTCTCCACCCACTCACTATCAGGAGCTCCTGTCCCCATCAGGATGAACCACAGATGTCCCCAGACATCCCCTAGTGTCCACCGAAGGCCTATCACCCCGGAGCGAGCTCCACTAATCTCCCCTGTGGTCCTCAGTTCCTCTCCTTTCTCCAGCTACAGGCATCTGCACATGCTGTCCCCGAGGTGAAGGTGGTTTGGGACCTCGGGCCGTGGAGTGCCCGCCTCCAGGTCTTTTTCAGAAAACAGGAAAGAAAGCTCTGTGTGGACCACAGGGACTTCCGCACGTGCCGTGCTCTGCATAAACCGGCCCCCTGCACACGTCTCCTCCACATGGGCTGTTCCCCCAGGCCATGCTGTTCGCTCTGCACATGGTTCCTCTGCACATGCTGTTCCCTGTAAACACACCGTTCCCTCTGCACACACCATTCTTCCTGCACACACCTTTCCCTCTGCACATGCTGTTCCCTTTGCACGTTTCCTGTGCACATACTGTTTCCCCTGCACACGCCGTTCCTTCTGCACATGTCACTCCCTCTGCACATATCCTGTGCACACACTGTACCCTCTGCACATACCGTTTTCCTCTGCACACGTCCCTCCTTCTGCACATACTGTTCTCTCTGTACACACCATTCCCTCTGCACAGGCTGTTCCCTTTGCACTTTTCCTGTGCACATACTGTTCCTCTGCACACACCGCTCTCCCTGCACACGCCGCTCCCCTGCACACGCAGCTCCCCCTGCACACACCGCTCCCCTGCACATGCCATTCCCTCTGCACACGCCGCTCCCCTGCACACGCCGCTCCCCTGCACACATCGCTCCCCTGCACACGCCGCTCCCCCTGCACACGCCGCTCCCCTGCACATGCTATTCCCTCTGCACACACCGCTCTCCCTGCACACGCCGCTCCCCTGCACATGCCATTCCCTCTGCACACATCGCTCTCCCTGCACACGCCGCTCCCCTGCACACGCCGCTCCCCTGCACACATCGCTCCCCTGCACACGACGCTCCCCCTGCACACACCGCTCTCCCTGCACGCGTCGCTCCCCTGCACACGCCGCTCCCCTGCACACATTGCTCCCCTGCACACGTCACTCCCCTGCACACGCCACTCCCCCTGCACACGCCGCTCCCCTGCACATGCCATTCCCTCTGCACACGCAGTTCCTTCCGCACACACCACTCCCTCTGCATGCTCTTCCTGCCTCAGGCTGCATCCTCAGACCCCTCCACTCTTCCTCCCACACCTCTCCCCACCACCTCGTCCATTCCTGGGGCTTGAACACTATCCACGCTCTGATGATGCCACAGTCCTGTCTCCAGTCCAGCTTCCCCAGTTCTGGACTCACTGTCCAGCAGCGCCCCCGCCCCCCAACACCCCATGCAATGACTCACACACAACTTGGCCTCTTTATGTCCACCGCCACCCCAGTGCCACCCCACCAGTCACTGTCGAGCCTGCCTCATGCTTTGTTCTTCAAGCCAATGTGTCTGGGTAACTCTTGGCTCTTGAAGCTTCGGCATAAACTTGAGGACTGGTTTGTAGACTCCAAGAACACAAAAGGCAAGACCTGAAATTTTCCCTGGAACTGTGTTGTATATTGCTCAAACAGGAGAACCAGGGGTTCATCATTCCTTCTCCCCCCACCTGCTCCTCCCACGGCCCCCCTTCCAGTTGATGGCAGCTCCTTCCTCCAGGTGCTCAGGCTAGGCCTCGGAGTCACTGCCAGGTCCCCTCCTCTCTGTCTGTCATCATTACATTCAATCCCAGCAACTGCCTTCAGAATCTATCCCAAATCCACCTTTGTCCGCCTCCACCTGGGCTCTGACTCCCACCACCTGTTTCTTCTGCTGCCACCAGAGGGCGGCCGTAAGCCCTGAGTCAGGCCCATCCCTCCTCTCCTGGGCGTCCACCTCCCTGGGTCAAAGCCCAAGACCTTCCACAGGGCCTCCCTGACCGGTCCTGGCCCCTTACCTCTCCCCCTCGCTCACTCTGTTCCAGCCACAAGAGCCTCCTTGCTGTTTCTCCTATTGGCAGGCACACGTCGGCCTCCAAGCCTTTGCACAGGCCGTGTCCTCTGCCTGCAAGACGATTCCCTCCAGATCTTCCCACGGCCGGCTCACCCTTAACCTCCAAGCCTTTGCCCAGACATCACCTCCTCCCAGAAGCCCTCCTGATTTCGCTTTTATTACAGATGCTCATGTCCGCCTGCCCACCCTCTTCTCCCCTTCCGGCCCCCTGCTCACTCCCCTCCAGCCACAGGGGCTTCCTCACTGCGCTGCAGTCTACTCACTTCCTCGCTTCAGGTCTCTGCTCTCAAAGGCCACCTCTTCCGAGAAGCCCCCCCCCGAACTCACCCCAGATCCCGGCACCTTCCATCCTGCTTACCCCCTCTGAGCCCTTTCAGACCCTTTGCTCCTATGTGGCGGCCTGTGGACGACTTAGAGGTTGTCAGAGATGCAGACCCCAGGCCCATGCAGACCTGTGCTTCCAGCAAGCTCCCACGGGGCAGAGTGCACAGTGCAGTCGGAACCTCGTTTAGTGACAGACCCACGGCGTCGCACCCACCGTGCCTCATGGCGACCCGTGTGTTAAACAGCAGAACGGCCCCTTTGGGTTTTCTTGGCTGCC